ATGCTTCCTGTTCTCACTGATATTTGTGAGAAGTAGCCAAAAGAAGGTCCTGTTATAACCATATAATTTCTACAGAGTGTATCCAACTGGAACAAACTGAAATACTAGAAGACAGTCAGCCCAGCAGGGATGCTGTAAAAGAAGCAATGGAATATTAATCCAATGGGTCCTAGACCCCAGGTAGTGTTTTTTCTTGCTTCCTGCACATGACCAAAGGACTTAGAAAACATGTGGAAAAAAGAAAGGTGTGAAAACTGAAGAACTGAATGACATCTAAGGATCTCTTTAGAGAATAAGATCCCACATGATGTCAGGCAAATGCGTGAGCTGACTTGCCTTTTGCTTCTGAATGGAGTAGTGATAGTTTCTATTTAGATTAGTAAAAAACAAATGCCAGGACTCTTTTCAATCTGGTCACCTTCTGATGATGGGGATCATACCTAAATTCTACAATCTCCGAGACCCGGCTAGTTCCTGCTCCATGTATCAATGTCACCTGTGTCCAGCATTTTCTGGGGCAGGACTCTCTGGCCTATGACAAAAACATGCCACAGGTTGTATTTACACTTGAACAGTAGAGTATTATGTACCAAAGCACAGAAAGATGGCCTGGATCTCTCCTTTATTTAGTGACAATGTAACTACAATGCCAATGTAACTGCCTCTAGGCAGTTTGCTAAGTTATAGAAATTTTAGTGCTATTTTAGGAGAATAAATTGGATTTATTTGGCCAAGACAAATATTATAGAAAGTATAATATTTATTCTAAAAAGTATAACATGCTTGTTCCATAGCTAGAAGAAGCAGAAACAATTTGTGGCACACCATCCATCCATCCATCCATCCATCCATCCTTCCATAACAAAGCTGAAACAGCAAATTTAGGATAAATAAAAGTTGGGGGAAAAAATGTACTTTATTTAAAATACTTGTGTTACTCCAGAGAAAAGTGGCATTTGCAACAAAGCCTCAGTAATACCATATCTCACCAACAACTTTCACTAGCTTTGTCTCCTCTTTACCATCCTAACTCTTGCTAAGAAACAAATTCAGACCTAATTTTTAATAGACAGATTCACAACAGCTTGTGCATCCGGACATGTTTGGCAGCATGTGTCTGACAAGAATTTTTCTGCCTCCTAGAAAAGTTCTGCTAAATATTCATGCATTTCCTATTGAAAGAAACCTGATTCTTGGCCAAAATGAAGCTTATTAGCAGACAGAAGAGGAGGGGTCCTTCCTCCCTGCTGCACCTCTGATTATTGTAGGTTTTGCATCACACCTGGTCTCTGCAAACAGATGCTCTCAAACCCAAATTAGTCTATATGGAAATGATTTATAACTTGAGATATTGCCAATTCATGGCATTTTTTGAAATGTTTTTCTTTTTTACATTTATTTAGAATTCATCATTTGTGGGACTTTTTCAGCACCATCTGTCTATCAGAGGTGACTAAAAAAAAAATCTGTGTTTTTAAAAATGTTCAAAACAGACCAAGAATATTTCTTTTAACATGTTTTCTTCTTTTGACAGAGATCTCAAAAATATATTTACTATTAATGGAAAGCAGGAAATGTTATTAAAAATCTTAATTTGTTTGAGAACACTTTCAATATGAAGTATGAAGTAGAGTATGTTTCATACTCTATTTTTCTGCTGAAACCTTTTTCCTAAGTGGCCACAAACACGTTGAGGAAAGTGACCCAGTCACAGGAAGGGCTCTGATGTTTTGGGTACTCAGTACCAGCTGCTGCTGAGCTATTTGTGCCTGGGGTCAGGATGGATGTGTTTGGAACAGAGACAGAATGAGTCTCTGTGCAGGTGGAGCTGTCAGCACCTGCTTCAGAAAGGATGACAGGAGAGTTTATATCTCTGCCACAACCCCTTGCTTAAAGTAGGGGCATCTCCAAGGTCAAGACCAGGCATCTCAGGACTTCACCCAGTTTAGTCTTGAAACTCCCTCAGGATGGAGGGAGGATGCACTGTCCTGGCAACCTGCTTAGATGTCTTCATGGGGAAGAAGTCCCTATCCATATACAAACCCTGAACCTTGAACCTCTCCCCTTTCAACTTAGAATCTTTCATCATCAAACCAAGCAGCACTGTGAAGAGCCTGAAACCATTTTCTTGGAAACCTCCCCAAAGGTATTGGATGTGACCTTTAGGTCCTCCTGCCAAAGCCCTTCCTTGTCCCTCCCAACCAGCCCAGGTGTCTCAGAACCACTTCAACCCAAACCAACCTGGACTGAACTTACTGCAGTTTATCAGTGATGTCCCTGTCCTGGGGAGCTCAATACTGGGCACAGTACAGACACAGGGTAACAAGCACTGAGGGCTGAGAAGGCTCTCTCCTAAGTCACTGACCTGTGGCAAGCCTGTGTGAGATTTCACTTTGCCCTGTGTCCCTGCAGCAGTGGCTGTTGCCCATAACCTTCAGTGACAGAAAACATACAGCTGCCCTTCAGCTGTGCCAGGGCAAAGGGGGCTTGACAAAGAGCACTGATGAGGGGCAGGAGAAGGCCATGGACCTGTCCTCCTCTGCTTCCCAAGCTGTGGAGGGTGATAATTTCCAGTGGACAGGAGGGCTGGAAAACATCAGCTCCTATGTAATGTACTAAAGTACTTTGGCCAAAAACTTCAAAGTGCTTCCCAAAAGGAAGTTGGATTGCTATTCCTGTTTTGTAAATCAGGAAGCTGAGGAAAAAGGGAAGGAAGTGTTTTGACTGAATTGATCTAGCAGCTGCTGGCACAGACTCTGAGTGCTGCCTATGCCCCGTGCTGCCTCTCAGAGCAGGGACCAGCCCCAGCCACCTGCACTCCACAGGTGCTCCATGGCAAACTCCCTCTTGGAAATCAGGCTGGTGACATTAGAACAACAGCCTTCAAACTGTGCAGATTTATGGCTTCAAAGTAAAAGTGCTGGTGAGAAATACCATAAATTAGTCATAATCTTATCAAAAATATTTTATTTATGAAAGTAACAATTATACTATACAACCTATATTGGAAATACATTGAATAATTGCTAGAATAAATACAGGCAATTAATTCAATCTTTTTATAGAATGAGAAGATTTATTTGACATTTGAATGTTAACCCAAGCTTTAACTTACATCATAAATAGTTAAAAGGCATAGTCAAGTTTTTTTGATTTTTACCGTTTCTCTTGCTTTTTTTAATACTGTTCTATTTTGTAATCAACATGAATCAACTCTCCAATCATTAACATAACATTAGTATGACTTTCAAGCAATCATGTACCTCAAGATAATCAGACAACAAGGTAGTGTGTGTGCAGTTCATTCTACAGCAGAATCTATTCATGTCTGCATAAAAAAGAGAAGCTGAAAATGCTTCTAAGTTCTTTAAGCATCATATGCCGATTTCTGCTTTACCACAGTGCTTTTAATACCAGAATCTAAGGGCAGCTGGTCTTTCTGTTGCTCTTTATAAAGTATATTAGGGCTCAATGCCACATTCCTTTGGCTGGTGAAGGACTGCAGAATTTAGTCCTGAATATTATTTCTCAAAACTATGGTCCAAAATAAATGTCCAGGACTGATTATTAGGCACCAAGGAAGTGATGCATTTGCTAAGGCTTGATGTTTTCTGCTAAAAAAATTGGCTTCTTTTCTGGTAGATATGCTGTAGTCAAAAACAAATTATTGGGCTCAGTACTGGGGTCTGTATTACACTGGATGTCAGAGAAGGGGATGTGTTTCTTTTCTGTAAAATGTATGAAGGACTCTGCAGAAGTTTTATAGTACAACACACACATTTTGAAAGTGTTGGTAAGTTTTTCCTTCCCTGTTTATTTTTTTTTTAATAAAAACCTGAACTCTTTGCTTGGTAGTAGTAGATTATGGATAGCTAGGACCATCAGTGAATTCAATAGCAGTTTCATGTGCCCAAGATTTTTCTAAGTCAGAAGTTTTTGACTGCTCAGGTCCCATATAAAATCAGTGGGATGCTTTCCATAGCAATGTCTTTTCCCGTGGCATGGAGGCCTGCCTTGCTTTATGGTTTATTTTGCATGCCAGGGATATTAAGTTCTCAGCAGAGAAGCAAATTTCCCTTTTACAATGTTATCAAAACAAAACCCTCAAATTGCACATATCTACCCCTTTGGCCTTTTTTTATGCACAAATGTGTTTGCATGCAAAACCTGAAAATTTTGCGCCTTTCCTAATAAATGTCTTAAAAGAGCACATTTAAATGCTTTTTCACAGAAATAACCATTCATTAGTTGCAAAAATGTAGAGAGACTTTTTATTCTTTCTGTTATGAACAATATTATTTCAGCAGAAATTTGGGGGGGAGAATGTATGATTTTTTTGTCCCCAAATATATTAAAAAAGGCTAAAGAACAAAATGTTGGGGAGGCAGCTTTTTTTGGCAGATAGTAAAATATAAAATATGTGATTTAAAAAAAAAGTTGGCTTAAAAATACACACACACAAATAATACAATAATATAAAAATACAGCTCAGCCAATGGCCTCTTAAAATTTACCTTTGGCATTACATTTGGCAGCCTAAAAACAAAAGACCCTTCCTATAAACAGAACTATAAAAATGAGAAGTTCATAAATTAGGTTGCAAGGGGTTGTACAGTCCTTTTCTTGATTCTCCAAACTCCCTTTCTTTCTGTCCACACACATAAGCATGACCAGTGAGGTATATAGAACGTAACACTGTCAGGCATATGCACAATAAAAAAAAGTGCATAAACACAGAAGTTCTCCCCTTTTCTTGTGAACAGGTCGTAACTGTGTGGTTTGCGTCCTTCCCCCCCTTGGAAACAAAGAAACTTTTTTTTTCTTTTTTTTTTTCTTTTTTTTTTCCTTACTTTGGCAGGATGAAAATGAACCCAGAGGAATAAAAGTGTCCTATTCCCAGCAGCAGTGATCCATTTCCCTTGGCAACATATGTCTGATGCCACAGATACTACAAGGTCGTTGGGTTGCTTTACAACTCTGGGTAACTTCCCACGGAAACATCATACGTCTAGCACCATGTCGTAGTGTTGTTGCTCTTTCTTCCGCCTGCCACATTTGTTGATAAGAACCATGTACAAAGTCAAAAGCAAAACCCAGTAACATGCATAGAGTATTGTGCCAATGATGAGAACTGTCTGTTTTGACTCAGAAAATGGCTTTTTTGATTCCTTGTAAATAGTGAAAATTACGCCACCTAGGAGGATTGTAAACCAAATGGAGACTGGAATGAGTCCTATAAAATTAACTACAATGGTTTTCCTTCCTGACGTGCCCCACCCTGCTTTGTTTATCGTGGCAATTGCAAACATCTTTGCTGGCAGTAAACTTGACATGTACAACACTGAGTAGAGTGACATGAAAACCATGACAATGTTGCCCCTAAGGAAGCTGGCAAAGGAAGACTTTATCAGGCCAACTAACTGAACTGTCAACAGGAAGAGCAGAATGTTCCAGATTTTTCCCCTGTAGAAGAGCTGAATGACTGTGGCAATAAGGAAGAAAGGAAAGAATCCAGTGATTACAGCTTCATAGGTCATCCACAAATGGTGCTTGTGGAACCACATGGCATTATAAAGCCACTCCCTAAAGTAGGATTTACTCCAGCGGGTCTGCTGATTCAGCCACCTGAGATACTCTATCGGTGTTTCCGTAAGGCACTTGGATCTAGCTGTGTATTTTGTTGCATAGCCCAGACTTAGCACTCTGTTAGTTAGATGCCTGTCATCTCCAAAGCTGCACTGGGAGCCCATAAACTCTTGATTGTACCAATCTTCCACAAATTCATGGAGTAAAGAGTTTCTGTACATTCCCAGAGGTCCACTGATGCACTGTACACAGCCAAAGTAGGACTGACAGGCTCTTTCGATGTTAAATGCCATCCAGTATCTCACGCTGCTCAGAAAGGAGATCCAGGAATCATATTTGTTCAAAATCTGCAAAATAAAAAAACAGTTTTCCTTTTAGATGAGCTCTTAAAACAGAAAATGTGCACATTGGATCAATAAGGAGTTTGCTGAGATTAGAGCACCATTAGATGAATTGTGGTGGGAACCTCACTCCTGTGTTCAACTCAAGGCAAACCTAGGAGCTACACAAACATTTCAGCCAGGACATTGACAGGAAGGGTGAGATGAAACCTTTAAATTTCTGTTTCACCAAGAGGTTCTTTTTTTCCTTGCAACCTTTCCTATTCTCCACAATGAAATTTCCTTACTTTCTGTCTCATTTTTCCTTCCCTTTTGCCCCCAGTTAGACCTTCTGGATTTAGATTTTACCAAGAAGAGCTGGTGAGTTCATGGCCTCCTGCTGCTTTCCTGCCCATACACATCTTTGGGGCTCACAGGACTCCTTCCAGCCCTCCTAAAACTATGCTGGAGAATAAGAAAAGCAGAACACATGGTCTTTGCCCTACATTTTTGTAGGGCAAAGCCTGGCCTTAGAGGTTTAACCTTGAACTGTGTCCCCATGTCTAGCATTCCTTTGAGGAGCAACCTCTGTCTCGGCAGTACCAGCCTGTTACCTTGTCCCACAACATATGGCAATACTCCAGTACAGCCTTCCTCAGGCCCACACAAACATCTCAGTCTTTCTCTTCTGCACAGCCCAGCCGCACATCGAGTCTGAGCACACAGCGGATGCATGAGCGCGTGCAGATGCACAAGTCCATGGCTTCACATACAGGTTCTCAACACACACCTTGTGCCAAAGGATGTGACAAGGAAGCGTGTGGATCTTTGGCCTCCTACAACTATAAAACATTGCCCTGCAACTAGAAAAATATTCTTTTGCTCTGATGGTCCTAATTTCTGTCAGTTTTAACTCCAGAACATATTAGAAGCAGCAGGGCTTGCTGGGTGTATGCTAGAAAATGAACTGGGGAAAAAAAAAGGCCAAAGCCTTCATTCTGTCACCTTTCCTCAAAGAGGACACACGTCCTTCCCAATGCAGATGCTTATGAACCTTCACTGTCACAGTTGAACCTGTCTGGCCTCCCTTCAGTTGTACTCACACATGCCTGGAATTTCACATGCATGGGCTGTGTCGCCTGGTTTGTGGTCAGTCTAGAGCTCCAAAGCTATTCAGGTTTCTGTGGGAATCCTAATTTCTGCAGTTATGAGCCACATGCCTGAAATACTTCTGACTACTTGGGCGTTCATTAGCAAGTTCTTGTTCATTTATATAGCTCTTTTTCCTCTGTCTCACATAAAAAGCCCAACTGAGTACAGGGGATTCATCTCAAGGCAAACAGAAATATTCATACACATTTCTCTTTATAAACTGCAGCAGAAGGAGTTGTGTCAAAAGGTACCACCAGCCTTTTGCTGTAGCAATCAGCCAAACTCAGTAATGCTGAAAGTCCTAAGACACATGGAGCTGGTCTGACTTGGAAGTTTTCTATTGCCCTGCTTGACAGAGATGGGAGACCCAGTAACACACAGAGTGCACAGTGCAGAGCGTTTCAAAGGTATTTTTTATTTCTAGCAATCTTGGCTGCCAGTAGTAATATAATTGAAGTGCTTGAGGTTGCTGGACATGGCTATGGGACACCTGTTCTCAATTTCCTGCCCCCCTATATCTTTTCTTTGGTACCTTGAGCAAGTAGCTATACCCAGAGACTCAAAGATGCCACAACAATCCTGACAATGCCAATGCCCCCCTTTTCACATATAGGGGCAGAATATTTTTTTTTTTGCTTGCTATGGATGTAAAACCATACAGTGCTCACATCCAAGAAGAGTTTCCATTCAATGGACAAAAAGGTTAAGCTATGATAAGAGCATCTATAATGGCATCACATGTTATATATATGCATATAGTATATACACATAAATTATATTTAATGCTATTTCAGGCAGAGGAATCTGTTGCAATGCAAATAGTTGCTGAAATACCTCTGTTAATCTGAAAATTGTTGTACTCACCTGCACATCACCTCCAACTCCTCCAACCATTGGATCTTCTTCTAAAACTTTTACCATCTCCACTGATGAGGCTGGATCAAGCATTGTATCTGAATCACAGACCTACAAGTACGAAAAAACAAGAACAAAAATGGGTTAAGGAGTTCACTACAGAAGAAAATAAAAATCATGCAAGTGATTATAATGACTCTAAATGCATATTCTCCTGAATGCAATTAAATCTGACTTTGAAGTCTGCACTGATACTTCTGTTAAAGGTCACTTGTACCAGGCAGCAAGGCACAGTGCTGCACAAAACACAGAGCTGGTTAAGGCTGTGCACACAAACAATCCTCTGTATCAGCTCCATTTGTTTTACTGGCACACTGGACAGACTTATTTGAATAAGATACGGGCACTGCAGAATAAGATGGTGTCTGTGGGTGTGCAGCAGATTCCTGTTGTGCTCTAACATTGAATTTCTCTGCATCAGCTGCACAGTTGGAGCACTCTGGTCAAATGTTTCCCACTGTCATATGAGGGAAAGAGCAAGGAGTTAAATCCCAGGCACTTGTTATTAAGAAGAAAAAAAGCCAAGTAGGAGTCTGGGAAGAAACCTAATTGTTTTTTCACTCACAGAAGGGTTTAGCAATTCATGTAAAATATGTATCTTATATTTCAGAACAAACTAATTTTTAATTTTAGATGCATGATGTGTTATTAGTAGTGCAGGGATTTGACATTTGAAAAGAGAAATTATTTGCTATTTTTCTCTAGCATTCTTTTAAAAAGTTATATAAGGCCAGAAGGCATGAGTCTCGAAGTTCAGTACTCCAAAAGACCAAGGCAGAAGTAAATGACACACAAGGCATTTCAGCTACACAAACACTCCTAGTCAACTAAACACTGTGTACATTAGGAAATTGGCTTTCCCCTGGAGAGTAGGAGGAGGGCTCAGACAGGCTGGCTGGTCTGTGAGATAGCTGGCATTGCTCTCGTTCACTCTGAGGAGAATGACTCGGGCTGCAGCCTGTCTAATACAAGAGGGTGTTTCCTTGCTGCAGTTGCTGCAGCTGAAAGAACTGGCCACATCGTGTGTAAACTCATTTCACAGACACCCAAGAACTGGAGCAGAGACTGTCCCAGAAACACCCCTCTGACTGGCTGAATCCCACCCTACAAATTTTCATACTGCCTCCAGTTTGTCCCCATGTTGCATTCCTGTGACTTCAGACAGGGTCAGTAGGAGCAAGTCAGTAGCTCTGCCTAAACAGCATATTAAGACAGATTCTGCTGAGGCTTTGTAATGGGTATCCTAATTTTGGTGTCCTTTCATGCAAACTTTCTAAGCCCTGTCACTCCAGGGGAGAGGTAACCTTTACATTTGCTCTATGAAGTGAGAGGAGAGCACTGGGGCTTTGCTCTGGACCAGACTCAAGAGGAGAGGTTACCCAGGATAGTTGGACTGCACAGTTTGGGATGAGCTGGGACTCTGCCAACATGCTCCCCTCCACGCTCACTCAGAGTGGGCCAAGAGGAGAAAGGTGATGAAAGCTTTCATATCTCTGTCAGGAGAAAAGCCACAAGCATCTCCAGCTCCCACTAACTTGATGCATCCATCTCCCCTCCTCAATGGCCTCATCCCACAACACCTTTGTAACCTGGCCAAGCTTTAGTGGAAAGCTGTCATCAGTGGCAGCACTGGGTGATAGAAAGGGAGCAAAACAATGAGGGAAAACAATGCCTATACTTTTACTTGGGTCTTCCTGGACAAACCTGTTGCTGAGTGCTTTGCAGAGGGAATCTGTAGTTTACTGAATTCCCAGGGTCCTCAGGCAGTGACAGGCATGTCATTTCTTGTGACCATGAGTGGTGGGCTGGGATCAGCTGCCTCCCAGCCCCTCTGCTTTCCCTCCAGCACCTGCCACTTGAGCACTCCCACCCCATTAGATGTATTTACCTGCAGCAGAAAGGCCTGCCCATGAGCCACATCACTAATACAGGGATGAGGAATCCTGAAAACACTGGGGTTTTTTTTAACAAAACACCATCACACATCCTGGGCATGCCAGCACAGTGGGTATGTCTGAGTTTCTGGGACAAATCTAACAAGCCATCATTTTCCATCTGGATGAGGTTTTTGCAGGTGAACAGAGGACCACCCAGAGAAACACAGACACTTAGAAGCCCAAATAAACACGGACACCTGCCTAGCCAGGGTGTGCACAGGACAGCCCAAGAGACAATTTGCCTTCTTTCCACATAAGGGCTGAGTGACCCAAACATCACTGCTTTGGGTCACAGAGTTACATAAGAGGAACAACTGACCTTAAGGGAGCTGTTCTTTTACTTGCTATAGGCAGTGACAGTTTATCCAAGCTGCTCTGAGTTCAGCCTGCACTGGACTGTCCACACAGGTACCTCCATCAAGCCAAGATGAATTGCACCCTGTTATCTCACAACTCTGCACTGATAATACCTGCCAGTTTAACTCCTCCACCTGATTACTTGCACACTCATAAACTCTTCTAGGATGGAAACAAGCCTTCATAGCAGTTTGCAGTACTTAATGAAACACCACTACTGAGTAACAGCTTGTTATCTGCACTGGTCTGACTGTTTATGATTGCCTGTTCATAATTCCAGGGTGTCTGTAAGGCCTACAATTTTGAGGGTGGGCAGTGGTGCTGACTGGCCACTTTAAAAAGTGCTTAATCATTGATGCAGACTGCTTAGCCCTTGAAATATAGGGCTTGTTTAAAGTAATTTACCCTGGGTCTCCCCAAAGGACCATTTGAAATATCTCAACCTTTATTTATTCATAAAACAGAGCCACATTTTAGCTGCACTTTTATGACTCTGCAGTAGCCAGGGCCACCAAGGGGCTGCATTTCTACTACAGATGTGACTGTAGATGTGACTGTGGCATCAGTCACTACTGCAGACTGTGCTTACAGCAGCACTACAGTCTCTGTCTGAAAAATTCATTAGACCTTCTGAGCCAGGTCTGGAGTGTTAACTGAAATATCTCTTCTATTTTCTGAATTTATGCTATGACTATTGAAATAGAAACACTTTTTCCAGGTTCCCTGAAAAATACAAGAGCTGAACTGAGGGAGGAAACTTGCAATGAATCTGCTTTCTCTCTGCCTTCTTTCTCTGCAATCCAGTATGTCTGTGTGTTTATAAACCCATGCTAATAAAGAAAATCAGCATTTTTATCCCATCATAGTTCCTCACAGCACAAAACCAAAGCACAGACAATGGAGAGCTTAAGCCCATTGTTTTGAAAGAATAAATCAGTTTCAGTTTGGGAAGTGGTGGAGGATGGGTTTTAAATCTTGGCTTGACTCTCCTAGCTCCAATAACAGAGCAGTTCCTGGCACTCTTCAGTTTCTGCCCCTCCTGTGCACTGAAGACTCGCTGCTCTCAGCCCAGCTCCTGGCAGCCTCTCCAGGTCCCTGGGACACTGCACGTGGATGCTGTGCTGTGCAGAGCATGCACACACACCCACACAAGGCTGGGCACAGGCCCCAGAAACACAAGTGGCTCAGCCATGCAGCTGCCCTGAGCCAGCAGAGAGCACCTCGCGGGGAGCTGCTGCTCCACTGCAGGAGACTGCTGGATGCTCTGACTGTGGGAGAAGCTTGGAAGAACTGAGGGTGGTTCTTTAGGAAAATCATCTCCTATTCAGTGGGATTAGTGAAATGAGCCTTTTTGGCCTAGATTTCTAAGAAAGGGTCCTCAGTGTCCAGCCAGAGTATCTGATCCCACCCGCCTTCCTCCACACATGACCCTTTCCCCTTCCCACAGTCAGCAGGGATGTTTGCAGGAGCGAGGAATCCATGCAAGTAAGGCAAAAACATAGACAATGTTTCAGGGGATCCAAGGCAGCTGGAAAGAAATGTGCCTCTGCTGCTTTGGAAACAGGGAGAGAGGACCCAGCCTAATTCATTTTTAAGTGAGTAGTGTGTCATAAGGGCCTTAAAGGCCAAGTTGCAGTGAGTGAGGTAATGCAGCTGTAAGTGATGAAGCAAAAGCTCCTTCAGGCTTTAGCTGAAGAAATTTTCTTTCAAATCTACACATTGACCCTTTTATTGAATACTCCACATGGCCTTCAAAGCCTTTAAAATATATCCCCATCTTTTTTACAGACTTCACCACTTCTCCAAGATATTCCCTAGTGAGACCAAATACCTGTCTGTCTGCTCATATATGGGGCCACTAACAAACTCACAAAATAAAGCCTTACCCGAGACCTTCCCTCACAGGAGATGGGGCTTCCAGGAGGTCATTGGCTTTGTCTGAAGCAAAACCATTTGAATGAAGGGGCAGTACTGAAGGCAGGGGAAGGATTTCAGACTTCTCCCATAGCTGGTGCACAAATTTAAAACTGTCACAGATAGACTGGCCATTTTAAAAGGTAGCAAAATACCCTTTTAACGGTCAAGCTGTTTCCAAACAGACTGAAAGGAGCACTGTGTTCATCAGGGACTAGGATGGCCTCTAACATGCTGCACAAAATATACAAAAGCTGCTTTCTTTCAAAGTGTGTTTGAATTGGCACTGACCTGGTGCTCTAATACCTACCTGTACATAATCCACACTTCTCCCCAGTGCTTTGAATGCTGTGTACATTACTTCTCTTTTTCCACCCCATTTCTGCATGATGCAAACACTTTTGTTGGACAGGACCAGCTGAGATACGTGTTGCATGCTCTCTCTGTGAGACTCCTCTGTCTCACCAGGACCTTTGTCATGGAAGTTATTACTCCAGATATAAGTGGCACAACTGTCCCTACCCATGATTTCAGTGAAAATGTCCATCATGTAAACGTCGTCTTCTGAGTTCCCATCAATGACCATAACAACTTTAATTCCAGGGTAGGTCAATCTTTTTACAGAGAGTAAACATTTTCTTAAGTAGTCAGGATCTTCTTGATAGGCAGCAATACAGAGGGCAACTGTTTTGTTCAGTTTGATTGGAGTCTCTAGCGACCGTTTCATTTTCCTGTGCTCTAGGTAGGCAAACAGGCTTTGGATGATGAGATGTGATGCCAGGATAGCACCATAGAGTCCAAAGGAGAAGTAGTAGTTGTCTGTTTGGATGAACTGGTAGCCCACAATGTAAGCAGCGGTGATTCCCAGCAGGAGGGACACCCCGAAGAGTGTGGTTCCAAGTATTCTCAGGATACATATAAACCTCTCACAATACATCTGCAAAGAAGTAGGGAAACCCATTAGCAGAGCCACCACTTGCTGGTATAAGACATCATAAGGGGTCACATGGCTGCAACACAGATCTCAGCATCCACAGATACACCCTGAGCTTCTGGCTCACAGACTCACTGCATCCCCTTGCTCAACTGAACAGCTCTTTGCAGGACTTCCCCCATGTAAAGTACAATCCAAACAGACTTAATGGAGCAGAGATGATTTCTGCTATTCACAGTGCCCTCACAGAAGGTGCTATTTGTGTCAGGACCTTATTTTGGCAGCCTGGACTGGTTGGATAAGACACTCTGTCATATTATCCTGAGGAGGTTGGAGAAGGGGCTTTTGGGCCACCACTCACTTTGTATGGTCACAGGGGACAGGAACAGCTGAATGTCTGGGCAGCCCCTCCTCATCCCCCATCCATGTCACGACTGTATCCCACCCTGAATTGTTTCTGTCTCTTAGTTATGTTTGCAAAAATATTGGAAAGACATTCTTAAAACAGATGCCTGAATGTATTTATAATTTTTTTAAACAGATGTCTGACTATATATATAATTTATATTTATATAATCAGACATCTGCTTTAAAAGGCCTTCTCAATACCATTGCAAAAATGCATTATTCATATAGTTGTGTACATAGATACATGCACATGTAAGCACGAGTGTATCGGGGCTAAAGCTTAACTGAGATTAAGTCTGTGGCAAAAATATGCATAAATTTAACAGAGCCAACACTCCACCCTGGACTCAGAAATTCTCTAGGACATAACTGATTCTGATCACTTCTACATATTTAGCTTACCTGGCTGTAAAATCTTCTAAGCTAAACTCTGAGCTATGGAGCAAGTGGCTGGCATGGAGGGTGCTCTGGCATTCTTGAAACAAATAAACAGTATGGGCAGGCAGGCAGGTGGACTCTATTGCAACCTAAATACCTTTTCTGACAATCACATCACCCATTTTATGCAACAGCTTTCTCAGAATTGTAAGAAGTTAATGACAATATTTTCTGTCAATAGATGCATTTTATGTGAAGGACATAAAACAAGTGATGTCTGTTTAAGGCTAATCCAGCAAGTGTGTTGCAAGTCAATAAAGCTCATGCTTGAATATTTTGCTAAATTAGGTCCTCTCAGAGTAATAGATTTAATATTTGTGTTTTCTTGATATTATTCATATTTTCCCTGCTGTTATCATCTCACTCATCTGCTGCTCATGTTTGTTTCACCATCTGTTGGCCAAAGTTGAAGTTGGAACAGGACTTCCTTACATCATATATGTTTTTAACTCTTCCTTGAAAAATGACTTCCAAGACACAGCAGCATAGCTGTCATCAGCTATGTATATGTCTGAAAAGCTACAGGCTCGGAACAAAAAAGTCAACACAGAATCACTTAAAACATAAAAATAAACTAGGCAAGCATGAAGTTTGAGGTTACAAAGACTTTGTCTTTTTCCATTGGCTATTTAGGGTCTTAAATTTCAAGACAGGAGGAAGCCTCTTAAATGTATATTTGGAGGCACTGTTAAAGAAATCAGACCCTAGCTCTAGGACTTCCTTGAATACTTAAGGCTGGGCTCTGACAGGTGTTGTAATCATCCACCAGCAAAAGGGACCCTCCCTGTTCTGGCCTGTCTGAAAATCTTTCACAGCAGGGGTCATAAAGATGCCTAATAAAAGACAGCTTATGCTTAACACCACTATAGGTGAATTGAAACTCAGTGCCCAAAATAGACTTGCTTTAGAAAACAGATTAAGTAATGGATCCCCTCTAGATTACCTCGAAGTAAAATAGTCTGTCTGTTTACTAATCCCTCAAGCATGCAAAATGTTACAAACATCAAGGTAAATGTCTCATTAATGGTGCACTTATACTCTGCTTTCCCATTTGGGGTCCTAAAGTCTGCTTACATGAAGAATTATATGGCTAAAATAAACAGGTTTTACATTAAGATCTGGAGTGGCTACATTTGAATGACCATATACTGTAGCAGGTATCTTTTACATTAATTTGATATTGTTTTGCTCTACCTATGAAGTGCCTCTGCACAAAAGGAAAAGAAACAAAACCAAATTCTCTGACTTTATCATTACAGCACAGATCCTCTCTCTCTGCAAAAATCCAGTCTTTTAAGACCAAGAAATTAATTTCTGGTGTTAATAAAACAACATTTCTTTTTCCTTTCCTCTGTCAACCTTAGGAAAATAAAAAGTGTTTTGATCTAAATTCCTGGCTTTCATCAAAGAAATTTTTCCCTTTGTATGTGCAATTGAGGGTTTTATGTATAGTCTTTTAATTGACTGAATCTCAGGGGAACTGGAAAAGTTGCTCAATAGTCTCAAGATTTAACATGAGGTATTGATAGCTTGCCCAGCAGAAATGATCGTTATCAAATTTAACATGCCCAAACAATGGCAAAGAAGCCAAAAACTCTCCACCCATCTCCAAGAATTAAGCCAAGAAGTTAAAAAGGAAATGATGCTTGTACAAGTCTGGGACCAAAAATGAACTGCTGAATCAAATACTGATACTGAGGCTAGGCAGCAGCTGCTTCAGGGACTTTCAGATCAGACAGTGCTGTTATGAGTATCTAGCCTGGCCTGACACAGTGAAATATAATAATTCTATCCTGCAATTTGGGCACCTAAATCCCTTACAGGCACCTTCACCTAACCCTGTGGAGCTGAACCCAGTATGAGTTTTACACAGGCCCCAGCAAGCAGACCCAAGGTTTGCATGCACAAGGTGAGTGTATGTAAAGAGCCTCCAAAGTCTACTGCTGAGCAATTTGTTGTTGTGATATTTCAGCTCTTTCCTTTCAGGGATGAACTGAGCAGTGCTCACCAGCCCATCTTGTAGAACTGAAATGTGAAAGCCATATGCTAAATCCTGATGCTGTGCAGGCTGCTGCTGATTCAGTCACACATTTTGATTCACAAAGCAGTGCCAAGTATAAATGTGCCTTGTAGTGACTGTACAGTAGCAGGCAAGGAGTGCCTTTCTTTGGAGGCTGCTATGGAAAAGCATGACCAAGAAATGAACCCTTGCATGTACTTGACATCAGAGTCCACCTGGTGAACTGTTTGGTATTGTGTCTCTTGGCATCCTGATAAAGCCAACTATGTATACAAAAAGAATATTTCTCCTTTGTGATGAAGGTGAATTTACATTATTATGAACAACTGGCATAACTAAAAGTTGTAGTATTCTAACAATGCTTTCATGAAAAACATCAGGTTAATGAATGACTGATACACAGTACATCTAATGATTGGGGTATTAACTGCAGCACTAGAGGTCACACTCCTTTCTCAGACTGAATAATGCCTTAGATCTCAAATTAGAACAACATGGCAAAATATGCTTCAGTTTTCTCTATTCTGAAAATATTTAGACTAGCATTTACTGTAGTTATGGTACCTAGATCTAACTTTTAAGATCTAAGATCTAGACACTTGACTGAAAGTCAGCAGGTTCTTATGTTTTGTTTTGAACTGGGTTTTTACTCAGCAAAGAACACTGGTGACCTCCATGCTAAAGTACCAATTTTTCTTCCTCCAAAATCCTGTGGCAGAGTTCATCCACATGGCTATTAATCAGCTTTCATGCATCTCTGAGAGTAACAGGGCCTGAAGATAGCTCATCCCTTTATGAAGTCAGGAGGCAAAGAGAACAGAAAAAGCTTATTTGTTACTAATACTGAATAGGGGCAAATAGATATCCAGAAAACCAATGTGGTACTGGTGCCAGAAGATATCAATATTATCTGCAGCCTGTTCAATTCTGCACCCTCTGTTGTGTGGCTGCTATGAGGACAAAGGAAGCAATCAGGTGGTGCCTGGCATCTATTGATACAGGACATGGAACCAGTGACGGGGGTCAAACAGATGGAGGTCAAACTGAAGTCATGGTTTGCTTATAACACATGGGATGATGCATCTCACTACATCATCTCTCTCAGAAATCCCCTCTCATGCAACACTCAAACATTGGCACATAGCAATTCTGAGCTTTTCCTCAGAAGATTAAAAAGCAAGAGAGGGAGACACGGAAAGTTTGCACCTAACACAATTGAATGGTTTGGAAGTTTGTTTGACAGAATTAGCATTTAGTAATTCCAAACATCTGAAGACATTTAGAAAAACCCGCACCATAAGTTGCAAAAGCCAATATCTATCCAGGAGGCAGTAATAAAGGTTTGATCACAAATGTGCTCATTGTGTCCCTGTACTGGGCCTGGCTGAGGTGGAATTATTTTTTCCCATAGCCATCCAAGTGCTCTGCTTTGTATTGGTGGCTGGGAAGGTGTTGCTAATGCAGCAGGGTTTTGGCTAGTGCTGAGCAGTGCTCCCAGCATCCAGGATGTCTCTCCAACCTTTTCTCCCACACCAATATACTATGAGTGGGCAAGGTCCTGGGAGGGAACATAACCAGGACAGCTGATCCAAACTGACTAAAGGGATATTCCACACCATGTAACATCTGCTTAGATTAAAAAGCTTAAAGGAGGAGGGGGAAGCATTTGTTATGACATTTGTTTTTCAGTTCTGAAGCCCTACTTCCTGGGAAGTGGTTGAACATCATCTGCTGATGAGAAGTAAAAGATAAATCTTTTGTTTTTCTTGCGTCATGCACAGCCTTTGCTTTATAAGCTGCCTTTATCTCAACATACCAGGTGTTTTGCCCTCTTATTTTCTGCATCTACATCCTGCTGAGGAGGACAGTGATCGAGCAGTTGGGAGGGCACCATGCAGCAGGCCAGGGTCAACCCACCACAGTCCCCTTCACTTTTAAAAGTTACAAAGAGTTGTGCCTCTGTCTACACATCGAGGGCTGTGGTCACAGCAGCAAATAGTGCAATACCACACCAACAGATCTGCAAAGAGGAACACCTGGTGCTGAGGACCTAACTCCACCCTCCATACATTTTTGTGTTTTACTCTGAACTAAGTATACTCAGACCCAATGGACTAAAAACCTGAAAAGTGTCCTC